TAGTCCAGAATCAGTTGGGCCTTCCATGTCCCAGCCTTGAGATGTGGACACTTCATGGCTGCTTAGGACGTCTGTCTCTGTGTTCATCACACAGGAGAGGGGTGTTATCTCCTGGGACTGTGGGGAACGCCGAAGAAGGAGGCATCTGAAAAACACCTCTGTAGGCTGGCAGGCAGAGACTGATCCCGAAATGTCAGCTGGATGGAAAGCACCTGACCAAGGTGTGTGCTTGTCCTCCCTGGGAACTCTGTCCTGCCTGCTTAAGGAGAAGTACAGTGAATGCATTAGCCTCCAGTTCTCCTTGGCTGCCTGAGCACAGGGGCAGGCCCCCACAGAGGAAGAACTGGAAAGAGCTGGTCCCTGGCAGGCCTCATTCCCAGGTGCCAGGGTCTGGACATGGCGCTCCAGGGTTCCCACAGTGGCCGGAAGGAGAGCCGCCTCCCCCCGGAGCTCAGGAATGCCCCCAAATGATTGTTTCCTCACGGCCTACAAGCCCACGTGACCTGCGCTGATGTTCAGGGAAATGCCTGGAAGAGGCCAGGACAAGGTGAGCCTGTGGCTGCCTCTGGGGCCTTTCAGACTGACCAAGACCGGTCACTCCTCCTCCTGAGCAATTTCCCCTGCTGGGCTGCAGCGCCGAGCTGCTGCCTTGGAGAGTGGAACACTGTCCTGCTGCCACCAGCCTTTCCTGAGCTCTCGGCTCTTTCCCTGACCTCCTCCCCAGGGGCTGGCCTGCCATCTGCCGCCCCAGGTCAGGCCTGGGATGAAGCACTAGCAGCAGAGGCCCCGTACCCGGACACTGGGCCAGTTGTCCAGCTGTCCCCAGGCCAGCCCTGACAGCCCCACAGTCTTCCCAGGAAGTGTGTGCAGGTCCCCATAGGAGCAAGGAGCACTCCGAAGGAGGTGCCCCAGGGGACAGGGGTGATTCTTCAGTCTCGGTCACAGGAAATGAATCACTATGGTTTTTCATGCTCTGGGGACTCCAGGGGGAAGGCTCAGGCATGGGGGATTCTAGACAAGAGGCAAGGTATGTGTGTGTGTGTGTGTGTGTGTGTGTGTGTGTGTGTGTGTGTGTGACCACTGATACGTGCACCGTGGCGTGCGGAGAATTTGGTGCTAAATGATGACTTCACAGTGTGCCCTTAAGTGTGGGAACGAACAGGCGACCTTGTGAGGTGAGTCCTGCTTTTCTTTTCATAGATGGGCCAAGACTCCCATGTGTTAACCTCCTTCTGGTTTATCAGGCGGTCGTTCCAAGAATATTTCATTAGCGTCTTCTAGGGGCCAGCCACAAAGTGAGCAAAGCGGACCAAGCCCCTCTCTTCCCATGTGGTATGAACCTTCTCGTGGAAAGCAGGCAGTGCCCAGAAAGCTGGCAGAAGGGGCTGTGCCTGAGGGGAGGCCAAGCAGGATAAGGGGGTCCTGTGTCGCACATCGGGGAAGGGCCGCAGGCTGGGGGAGTCTGCAAAGGCTCTCCTCACAAGATGATGGCCAAAAGAGACTGCATGAAGGGAGGGGCTAAGCTGGGTTGTATCTGGGCAGGGGCTACCCGGCACATAAGTCCCCAGCCAGGGTCAGTCCTGGCCTGTTCAAGAGTGAGGGAGCCACTGTGGCTGGAGCAGAGGGAGGGGTGAGGTCAGAGAGGTGGCAGGCTCCAGTGGGTGTAAGCCTCCGTTGGTTAAAAACTGGAGGGTGTGAACAGGGGTGGCGCGACCAGGTGGCTCAGCAGGCCACCTCGCTGCTTCCAGAGGAACTGCGGGGGCAGGGAGAGGGGGGAGGGGGTGGTTGCTAGAACGATGGCAGCTGTGAGACGTGATTGGATTCTCAATATATTTCGAAGCTTAACTAATTGGGTTTGTTAACGGTTTAGTTCAGGGCTGTAAGGGAATAAAGTAAATCAAAGATGGCAGTATGGTTTTGGCCTGAGCACCCAGAAGCAATGGAGCTGTTATTTACAGGAATGGGGATGAGCAGCTTGGGGAAAACGTGGACAATAAGAGTTTCCTTTTGTAAATGTTCACTTTCAGGGGAGGAGGGGATGTCCAAGCCTGGAGCCCAGGAGAGAGATGGGTCTGGGTTCCTCAGTTTTTGCATGGTGTGCAAGGCCAGGAGAGTGAATGATGTCACCTGGTATAGGCGCACGGAGCGTCTGCGGACTGACTGAGGGGTGTTCTCGTGTTTAGATGTCCAGTGATGAGGAGGACACAGAAAAAAAGAAAATGAAAAGGTATGAAGCTGAAGAAATAGTCAGGAATGGTCTGCTGAGAGCGAGCCAGAATGTGTTTCAAGGAGGGCGACCCATGCTGTCAAGAGACCATGCTGGGACACCGAGGAAGCTGAGAAGTGATAACTGGCCATTGCATTTCCCAATGGCTCTGTGACAACCTTGACAAAGAGTGGGTCTAATAGAGTGAGTGGTAGGGCCAAAATTCTAGCTGGGAGTGGGTTTTTCAAGAAAGAGAAGAGAGAGAGGAGGGGAGAAAGCGGACACAGGAAATAAGGAGCCCTCTTGTGAGGACTTGCATGTGATGCGAAGCAGAGTAGTGCAGAAGCCGTAGAGACAAGGGGCGGGAAGAATACCAAGTTGGGGGGGGCGCCTGGGTGGCTCAGTGTCCTCCTTGGCTTAGGTCATGATCCCAGGGTCCTGGCACTGAGTCCCACATAGGACTCCCTACTCAGTGGGAGTCTGCTTCTCCCTCTCCCTCTGCCTCTAATAATAAAATCTTAAAAAAAAAAAAAAAAAAAAAAAAAAAAAGAATACCAGGTCAGGGGTGGTTTTATTTTCGCTTTGTTTTGTTTCCAATGGGAGATATTAGAGCACGTTGGTGTGTTGATGTAGAGGGAACGATTGCTGGTGTAGGTGAGAGGGAGAGTCAGGAGAGATGTCTTTGGGCAGATGAGAAGCTGGCTCCAGGGCCAGGTGTAGGACGGCAAGGGAGCAGGGTGCTTCCTGCCGGGTAAGAGCGGTAGCAGTGGACCAGAGGTGGGGCTCATGGATCCTTTTCTTATTGTTGCCTTTCCTTCTGACTTAGAAGCCAGCCCACCAGCGGAGTGAGGAGGGGGTAGGATGAAACTTTAAAGGGAGAGAATCGGTATGGAATGAACACTCTGCTTTGTTTCGGTTTGGTTTCATGGGCCAAGGGGTAGCTGCAACTCATTTGCTCAAAAATGAATGTTGACTCCTGAAAACTTAGTAGAGCAACCTCCTTGAAATCTGAGAGTAGCTCCAAGACCAGGTAGGAATGCCGGGGGTTGGTTGTGGCTTGTCCCTGAGGCTGTCAGCCTGGCCACCTGCTCACACATCCAATGTCTGTTCAACACCCACCATGACAAGCCCTCTTTGAGGCATGGGGAATGTGGCCACCAGGACCCTATGCAGCCTCTTGAGGGATGCCTGAGGGATGGACTCCCCCTGAGAACTCTGTTTTCCCAGTTTGTTCTCAGGGGAGCTCTCCATAGGCTGAGGATTTGCTCAAGTGATTACTACAAGTGATGTATGCAAGTTGGGTTGATGCTGGTGGGTGCCTTCAAGGATGGAAGAGAGCCTAGGACTAAACAGAATCTGTGCACCTTTTGTGTGTGTGTGTGAGGGGAGCTCTTAGGGGATGTCTCTGGGTCCTTTATCAATCCCAGTATGGCAGCAAGCACAAGCTTAAGTGGTCCTTCCGTGGAGTGACAAGTGAAGCTGTTGTCAGCCGACTCTATAGGGGCCAGCAGCCCTGGGAAGCATTCCTTTTTTTTTTTTAAGCTACACCGTTCTGAAGAGTCAGCATCATTCTGAATACTTGATACTTAATCCAGGGGTTGTTGGTTCCTGGTGCCAGAAGAGTGGAATGCGCTGGAACCAGCACTTGCAGGTGCTCAGGGAACCTACGAGACCCAACCAAGAGTCTTCTCCCCTCCTGTTCACCTTTCATGATCACTTTTAGCTCCAGGTATCTGAGCACTGCTGAGGCCTAAGGAGAGGCAGATGGACCCCCAGGAAACAGGTGGAAAGAGGGAGAGAAGCATATCCTACCCACGGCTAGTCTGCTCAACTCTTGGGGATGCTAAGCTTCCAGGTTATAGAAGCTGGGACTCAGGGCAAGAGGTGTGTCTCGAGTCACGGAGGAAGCAGAGACAAGACCAGGATCCCAGCACCACTCTGCTAATCCACACACCCGCCTTCACCCCTGGACACCATGCTGTCTCTTGCCATGGCCTCCTCGAGTACTTCTTTCCTCCTCCGGTCCATCTGCACCTGAGCAATCACATCGAAGCCACCCTAGAAACAGCCAGGAGGTTCTGAGCACAGGGGTAATGTGGTCCTGTTTGGGCCAACGGGCAAGAGGTTACGGAGGACAGGGCAATCTGGACTCAGACATTTGTGGCTTCTGTACTGGCCCCTCCTTTCTGGTGCAGTTGACTGTGGACCAGAAAGAATGTAGGAGTAAGTGTGACAGGTTGACCTCTATGAGGACAGAACCCTACCGGGCTCACCGCCTGGTCAAGTTATCCAGGACAGTGCTGGTGAGCAGCTGTTGAGAGATCCAGTAAGTTTCCAGGAGGTCCCAGCACAGGACAGAAAAGATGCCCAGGGCACTGGGTCCTTGACGGTGCCTGTGGGAATGGGCTGCTGTTCTCCTCCACCAGGCCTTGAAAGTAGCAAATGGAGGCTTCCTGACCCACAGCTGACAGGCAACTATGTGGGTCCTTGCGTAAAACCATCCCTTCTGGAGTAGAGGACTGGCTTGCCTTTAACAAGGGATTTCAGCAAAACCAAGGACATTCAAAGAGAAGAGAGTGCCTTTCCCCCGCACCTGCTACGGATCAGTTGACTAGAAGAGGCAAGCATGTCCCCAGAATTCTTCCTTACGATTAGCGTGATTGCAATGGCCTGTTTTCCACTAACCAGTGCAGCTAAGATTACAGAACTCCTCTGGGCTGGGATGAAGGAGGAAGAACCAAGTTTGGAAAATTTCGAATGGCAACACTAATTTCAAAGTCTTGGCTGCTACATTTGAATACATGTCTTTATTAGGAAAATTGTAAGTGGATATACATCTTTTCATTGATATGACTTCAAAGTAGAAATGGTTGTTTCTCAAAAGGAGTTGTTATTTGTTATTTAAAAAAAAAAAAAAGCACACTGCATACAGGAAGCTGCCTTCTCCTGGACCATTTTCACATTATCTGGGAGATGTATTTAAACAACATAAAATACAGTATTCATCACATTTAACACTGAACCCATCACTGCCTGGAGACTGAGACGCCAGCGAGGTTACGGACCCACAAGTAGCTTGGGAGGTTTTTTTTTTTTTTTTTCAACTTGGCCGTGTCAGTGGTCTGCTTATGGGACTTGAAGGTTTCTAGGGAGCACTTTCCAGGGAAGGGGATCCCTTGGAATGGGTCAGGGAGGATGTGCACAGGGACCCCACAATTCTTATCCTGCTGTGGAAGGGTGCACCCCCTGGGGCAGGGGCTTGGGGGGCTGATAAACTCCCTGCCCAGAGCCCATGGCTACAGCATCAGGCAGCAGTCAGAAAAGGAAGGTGAAATCGGATCCAATGAAAATTCTTAGGAGTTCTCTGGGCTTCACACAGGGGGGACTGCAACCTTCTGCTATTCAGGCCGTCTGCTCCAAGCTGAGCCTCCTTGCTCTGCAGGACAGGCCCACACGCAGAGGGCCCCTCTCCTGAGCCTCCTCGCTGGGGTCTCAGCACCTGAGCAGGGCTGGACGAAGAACAGTACACACAACACATGGCGCAGATTCGGATATAAACACACAGCAGTCCCGTCCCCAGCTCGGCCCCACAGCTGCCCGGGTCCTGATGCAAAGGCTGGCAGGGGGAGGACTGTCCTGGGGGTTACAAGGAGCCCAAGGGAAGGTCAGGTCGAGCAGCATCGGACAGGGAGGAATAGCCGGGGGGACTCCTAATCCATGAATGCACTTGACTTGTACTTTTAAAGCAAAAGGGGATCAAGAGAGCCTTTTCCTTTGCAAATAGACTATTTAAATGCGTATTTGCTTTCAAGAGGCCGTCTTTCTTCAGGAGCAGAGTGTAAGGAGGGCAATTGTTAGGCAGATAACTTTTCCTGCAGTTTCTACTCTTATCTATTTTTCCCTCTATTGGGGAGAAAGGAATGATTCTTTTTTTGACTGTAGTCAAGATTTAGAGCCTTGTTTTTCTGGGAGCAAGAGATTTAATGGTTCTGGTTCATGGATTCCAGGGGAGGATGGTTCCAAATTTTCCATGAGAGTTTTAAATTATCTTGGATTACTTAGAAAATGCCCATCCTACTGAAAAATTCGATCATTTCACCCATAGTATAGTTCAGGAGACCTGCAGTGATAACTTAATTTCAGAAGAGGGTCCTGAGATCAGTTCTTTATTCCTTATAGAGGCCCCTGTACTCTATTTTATTCAATATAATATAACTGACTTGAAGATACACATTTTTTGTTTGGCTGGTGGACTGGCTTTCTACCTTGAAGATCCTATATAAAGGAATATTTATGGAAACGCTTTAAACGTGTAACTGACAACCCAAAGATGATTATATCTAAAAACATCTATAATTCAAGATTATTTTATTATAATATACTTTCTGTATAGTATTTACAGTGTCCTATCGATGGATACATTTCCCGGTTTTGGCCTTCTATTTTTCTTTCTTAATTTAAAAATTTTCCCTGGGCTATTTAACCAAAGGGGCAAAGTATTCGTGAGACGAAATATAAAACAAAGACAATAAGCAAAACCCCCTCAAATGCCTAGCTGTTCAAAAAGTGGTATTTTAAAACTGCTTAGTGCAACTCTACAAACTGGTCTCAGTAAAGGGAAACCCTTTACATGTCAAGGCTTTAACCTACTTTCCCAAACGTCCCCTTTTCTAGGAGGAATGCCCTGCTGGACATTCTGGAAGCACAAGGCAATTCCAGCAGCCAAGTCCAGAGACCACTTTACAAGGGAGCAGATGATGGGATTGCCAAGTGGGGAAAAGATGAGGTTAGAATTTAACTGGGAAAGAATCTTCCTGTCCAGGACTCATTATTCTGTGGATTGGGTTTTCAAAAACCAAAAAAGAGTTGAGGATTCTTTTCATGTGACGGCCAAAAGAATCACGCTCTTGGCGCCACGGAGACAAAACTCTCCGTGGTTCTGAGATACTCACACCTGTGGAAGCATGGAGGGAGGGCTGGCGTCCTCAGAGTTCAGCCCAGCTGAAAACCGAATTCCCTTGGGCTCCGTGGATCCATCCTGGGTTTGTGATCCGTGGAGAAACCCAGGCTGTCCACCCAAGAGGCTCACGGCCCTAATCAGAAAGCTGGTTAAAAGATGTCTCCTGACTCTGAGCCTTTGCATACGAGGAGCTGACAGCGCATGCAGCGAGGACATTGGCTTTGAACAAGAACACAGGGTTGGACGACAGACGGTATTCCGAACAAGACAACAGATGTGCACAGTGTTTTCAGAACATGGTAACACGAGACATTTTGATTTGCTTCTTGGTGCCCAGTTTAAATGAAAGCTTGGGTCTTGAGAGAGTCTTTTTCCGGGGTGATGGAGACAGTCTTGGATACACATGATGATGGATGAGAGAGACAGTGATGAGAAGAACGTGATGGGATGTAGAGAAGAGTTCAGGATGAGGGGCGTGTCTCCCCCTACCCCAGCCTCACACTCCTGCCTGCCCTCGGCTGGGGGAAGCTCTGTGATGCTCACTGAAGGGGAAGACCCCAGGCCTCACTCCAGTGGAGGGTGAGGCTATTGCCTGGCCCTCTAAACCTAGCCCTCCTCTACCCCCTGCACAAGGGCAGCCTTCATTAGGGTTTGCCCAGGCTGGTGGGCTCTGATACCTCCTGGTGGCTCTCCATCCTAGGACAGGGTGATTGGGGGTCCCAGCCTGCACAGCTCAGGGAGATACAACACTCAGGAACCTCGGGCCAGGCGAGGGGCTCCAAGGGGAAGATATCGTAAGATAGCAAGTAAAATAATGGCCTTAGTCTAAGTTCCTATCTGTCACCAGTGACATTGGATAATCAAACTAAATGAAGAGTAAACACCATATATTTTGCTACATAATCAAATGGTGAAAATAAGGCAAACTGTGCAGAACGAAGCCCTTGGAAATGCACTGGGCCCTGCCTGGGTGCAGGGGAGCCGCTGCGGGCTCTTCCTAACACTGCTTTCAGACCCGGGCTCCCACTGTAAGGTTTCCTCAGGCGTCTGACCCCACCTGCGCCTCTCACATCTTGAACCTCCTGTTAACAAGAACAGAGGGAGACACCATTAAGGCGGATTCCCACAGCGGCCAGGCTGCATGCCTGAGACGCCAAGCCCCCCGCGGCGGCGGTGGGGCCCCCAACTCCTGACTTCCAAATCACCGGCTTTCCGAGGCCCTGGGAAGGGGGAGGGTGGGGAGAGAGGCAGCTGGTGGGGGGTGGCTGAAGCGGAGGGAGGGGTGGAAGTTGGGAAGTGAAGACAGAGGGCGCGGCCAGCACGGGGCACAGCAGATGAACAAGGGCGCGTGGACAGACAACACGGTACAGTGGTCACAGGACAGAGCAGGCGGGGCACCCCGCCCGAGCCCAGCACACATGGAGGGCTGCCAGCACCCGCCGCCTGAGTGTGGCCCCAACACACACCCAGCCCGGAGGAGGCTGCCTGCTCCTCCGAGGCCTTGGCACCATCAACCACCTCCATCGACACCCCAGCCTGCTGACTGGCCCCGGAGTCTCTGGGCCAACACCGCAGGGGTGGGCCCAGGACCGAGTGCCATTCGAGAGCACTGCCTAGTTTCAACCCACCACGGAATGGAGGCCGGCTCTTCACTCTTCCAGGACACCGGGTTGGCCTGTCAGGTAGCGTGAGGGCCCAAGGCCAGTGGAGTCATAGAAGGACAGCCTGGAGCTGGTTTGCTTTTCTTAATGTGGGGCCAGCTGTCTTAGTCCCCATGGCAACTCCCCCTGCCCTCCACGGCTAGATGGCGAGTAGCTCTCTGCAGTGTCCAGGTTGGACCTGCCACCCCTCTCTAGGCACAGAGATGTGCTAATCCTGCTGGATCAAGAATGGAGAGCCTGGGACCTCAGGTGTGACTGGCTCCAAGATGCTTATGTAAGAGGTGAGCTACCCCAGCCAAGGTTCCCAGACCAGGCCCACTGCTGGCTTCCACAGAAGACTGTAGCCCGGGGCAGAACAGCAAACAGCCCAGTGCCTTCCGAGGCAGAGGCGGGGGGTGGGCTCCCCACATGCCCGGGAGCAGGTCTGCTGACCGCAGGGCTGGCCATAGGGGTGCAGGCTGAGAGTCGGCTGGATAAATGGATGGCGATGGGGACTAAAAGGTCTTTGGCTGCAGCGCGCTGGCCAGACACTTCCCTGATGGAAACAAGGAATGCCACATGCTCTGCGCTGCTATCACAGAGGATGGCACTAAAGCAGAAGGGAACACAGTGCTCCAGTTTGAGTGGGACACGCAGGGACCTGAGATTTTCTTCTCCTCATTCCATCTGTTCTGACCTCCAACTACTTCATCTTTCTGTGTCCACATGCTGAATTATGACCAAGGGCATGGGGTGCAGGCTAAGTATTTATGAGGGACAGGAGGATGGGGAGAATAGCCCAGATATTCTAGGTGTCCTTTCTCAAAGTATTACTGAAATCAGGGCCTTGCTCTCCCATGGGATCCCTCTTCTTCTGGTCCAAATTAAAGAGACTTGGCAAGAAATTTTAGACATTAATCTGTGGGTGGTATGAGGAAAGTTCTAGAACTTTCTAGAACACCATGTTCACTTGAAGGAGATTTTTCCCATGAGTGAGGGCTGTGGCAGCTGTGTCCTGGAACCTAATCGCACAGAGTCACAGAGCCTCACCCAGCAGAAGGTGGGTGGGAGAAACAGGCCTTTCACACAGTTCCTCCACATTGGGGACCCATTTAAAGAATCTGTAAAGTGAAGTGCCGGGCCCAGAGGCTCCCTGAGAAGTATTTCCACAGCTGCTCCCTGGGAATGTGGAGCTCCCACCCACCTTCCACACCTGGCGTTCAGAAAGCACCCCTGCTCGGAGGTAAAGCCACTCTCACAGTCTTGGGAGGGGCTGCCGGACGAGTCCCACCCTGGGCATCAGAGGGGTGGAGGGCCAGGCAGCAGGCACTTGGGAAAAAAGTCAGTGAGCACCTGCAAAAGGCACGGCCACAGCTGCCCCACGAAGGCGGTGACGGGTGGCACTGGCCGTGGTCAAGGGGAGGGCAGGAGGTGCATGTCCCTTGCTGGCCGAGGCTCCCGCTGCTGGGCTAGTCACGGCTCTGTGCAGGGCAGGGCAGGGCAGGGCAGGGCAGCCCCACCCTGGCCTCAGCAGGAAGACAGATGGCAAATGTGTGGAGCCATGTGGGCTCCGGAACAGTCACCGGCCCTTCGGAGAGAGGGAGTGGAGGGCGGGGTGGGAGGCTGGGCAGCCCAGGGCAGTGCTGGAGAGACCCTGGGCCACGCTAGACAGAGTCTCGAGCACAGTCTCCTCCTCACCCCAGACCGCCGCCCCAGTCTCTGCACAACTACTTTCTTCATAACTTAGCAGACCAGGAAGGGCCTGAAAATGCGCATAAATACAGGGGCCAGTCAGGCCACAGGAGCGCCGCTCCTCCACTGAGGTCTGAGCCCCTGCTTGGAAGGCAGGGGGTCTGCCCTGGAGGAGGGTTAGAGCAAATTTACAAAGCGCCGGGGGAGACAAGAGCAGCGTGCACTGCGGTCCATCTCGAAGTGGCAGATAACTAGTTTTTCCTTTTCTGAGCAGCCTTTCTCTTCTTCTGTCGCTTCTTTTTTCCTATCTTTTCTTTTTTCCCCATTTTTTCTTCTCTGCGCCCCCTTAGATAAAATCAGTAGAACCATTAATGATGTTGAAATACACAGGGGTCTGTTTCAGTCTGCACAATCTCTAACACTTCCCTGGGTGTCTGTTTTACTCTGGCTTCAGTCTTAGGCCTGGAGGCCCCTGGGCAAAGCACCGTCCATCAGTACTTCATTAAAATAAATCGGACATTTTCCCCAATTCAAAGAAAAATGTTAGCTGGCCTTCCAGAACACCTGGGAACTGGTTATAGCCTATAGCTGTGGGCCAAGGGGCCAGCCTGAGGCTTTCAACCCTGAACAGCATTCACATCTGAAAGGGTGCGAAGGACCCAGGCTGGACTTGGCCTTCTAACTCACCTCAATCCCATCTTCTCTGGCCTTCTTCCTTTTTCAGTGCAGAGCTGAACTCTGCTGTCCCTACAGAAAATACCTGCATTTCAGACTGAATCACGCTTTGCATTCAGGCGGCCATCCAGGAGAGGAGAAAGAAGGTGGGCCTGATCCCACCTTCTCCTTTCTGGATGCCTGGGGACACCCCCTGGGAATGACTGGGATTGTTCTGGAGAGCAAGGGAGAGAGCTGGTTAGCAGAATTCGATTAGAGCAACTGGCTCATGATTGTCACATTAAAATGATTCAAGCTAAATGGTATTTAATGATTTATGGGGTAAGCCACCTGTTCCTGTGAAAGCTATTAACCATGGCCTAGAATTATGGGATTTTTACATGGGCAAATGTGAAAGCTGGATATTATGAGAGTTGAGTCTCTGGAGATTACGTGGGGGGATGTTAGGAGAACCAAGGAAGAGGAGGAAAGGGAAGAGGAATTAGTGAGTCAAATATTATTCTTCAGAAAACTGGCACTGCTGTTTCCATTGGGTTAAAAAAAAAAAAAAAGAAGGCACAAAAACTTGAGTTGCAGTTCTCATGTGCTCCTGAGCGAGGCCCACACTCACAAGTGAAGTGGGCAGGAGGGACCTAAGGCACCCACCCAGCAGGCCATCTTAACCTCCATCAACTCTACAAATGTATCTGAGCCCCGTGTTTAACAGCTGATGGATTTTACTTCCGGTAAATAAATTCCCACGTCCAGTAGGAGGTCGGTACCATGAAACAATTAGCATTTTATTGCTAGTGCATATAATGTCACATTTGATACAATTTTAGTACAAGTGAAAAAATACACTGTGGCTAACATTAAAAAGCTGTAATCACATTTATAGATCATATATATTTCTTTACAAATTGCCAGTGGGTCAAGAGAATAGAGAAATGTAACCTACTGACCGTCATATGGCTCCACTTCAAATATATGAATTGTTCGACTATAAATATATTCTGAAATACATTTGTTTTCTAAAGAAACATTAAAAAAATGTGCACAAAAAATATATAAAAAATGCCTTGCAAAAAGTTACAAATACCACCAGGCCCATCTGTGGATCGCATTGATGCAGGGAAATGTCACCTTGCCAACGTTTCTGCCTGGAAACTGAAACCCTGCCGTGGTTTCAGGAGGAGGGGTTCATGGCAAGAGGCTCATTTCTTCATTTATTTTGTTTGCTTCTGATTGCAGAGCCCTCACAGTGTGCAGAGCCTCTCCGTGGCTTATAAAAACCTCAGAGGCAATCACAGAAACCGAATTCCTCAAAACAAGTTTCTCAGATTGAAAACTGCATTTGATTCTGCAAAGACTGGCCTTTTGAGGGAAGGTGGAGACATGATCTCCCGCACCCCACCCCAGGAGAGGGCCAGCCGCATTGCAGAGAAGGCCAGAGAAGATTCTCACAGAGGGCCTGAGGGGTGGTGCGGGGGAGGGCCAAGGGAGAAGGGGGCTGCAGGGCGGGGCCCTGGCAATCACCCTCCTCCCCACTGAGCATGTACAGAAATGAGAAGCCGAAGCAAGAGGAAGCATGTTACTGGAGGCAGGGAGAGGCCTGGGAATGGCCGGGAGTGGGTCTCTGAGCACAGTCCCCAGTGACAGGAGCTTCTACATGGAGCCTACAGAGCCAATCACGGAGCCCAAAAGAGTAGGTGGATGTGGTGGCCGCTGCCTAGCACTAGCCAGTATCTGAGTCACCTGCAGGGGGGTGGGGGTAGGGTGGGGAGGGGGATGTCATTCCCAGAGGGGCACCCCCTGCGGAGGCTGCCCTCCGCCTTCCTCCAAGCCTGTGAGTCTGGAGGAAGGACACTTTTCTGAGCTCCATGCTTGGCCATCACCTGACTGTGCCCAGAGGCCCCGGGGGCAAGGAAGAAACGCTCCAAAGCAAAACCAAATACAGATCTTGAAGCAATCACTGATTTAAAAAAAAAAAAAAAAAGATAATGGGAATGATGAGGGTTGTGATGATCGGGAGAGAGCGGTCAGTGGGAAATGCTGTTGGGACAACATGATTTCTTAGAAAAACCCCAGTTATAAAACAGCCAATGCACGAGGGTCTGGGGCATGGGTGAACAGAAGCTGCAGGATCGTACCAGACACTATAAATGCGGTTCTACATGCTGGGCAGACCTCAAGCCCATTCCCAGGTCCGTGCTCTGCCCCCCAGGCACACCTGGTCCTCCCCATCCAGGCCCTCCGCCCCCACACCTCGCCCTCCATCTGCCGTACGGTGTTAGCTTTCCTCAAGTGGATCTAGCGGAAAGTCCTTTCTGGTTGATGTGCTTACTTGTTTAAAGCTTTCTCCAGGTACTCCTGAATCCACTTCAGTTTCGGGTCAATGCACACTTGTCTGTTGTTGTTCTTCAGCCTCGCCCTGCCAGAACGGAAGAGGTGACAGTATGAGGCTGAGCGCGAGGGGGCTCGTCGTGACCTGGGCACTGGGCTCATCGCCCGCGTCAGCACCGGGACCCCCTTGGCAGGCTCGGGTTCAGGAGGAACTCAAGGTGGGGAATCCCGTCCCTAGCAGCGGATCGAGTCCCCCCGCAGATACGGGAAGGTGGAACTTGCCTTCACAGGGGAGTCTGGGGAGAGTGCAGGCCGGGGAACGTGTGAGTTGGCCTTGGGAGAACACGGAGGGGCCGGGCAGGTGGAATACAGAGGGAGGGAAGCAAGAGCAAAGGCATCAAAGGGGGTACTTGCACTGAGGGCGTGGAGGAGGGTGGGCTGCCCGAGAAGCAGGTGGCCGGATGTCAGGGCAAAAGAGTGGGGTTTTCTCTGCAAGATTATGGGGACTGAGGCTGGAGACGGACAAAGGCAGACTTTTATTTGGATGGATCATCTTGAAAGTTCACGGGAGACCGACTTAAGAGTAAGCCCGGAATTAGGAGATTTGAAAAGAGGGACTGCAATAGTTTGGGGAAGAGATGTGACAGAGCATGAGGGAGGGACAGTGCGAGTTGGGGGGATGGCAGGACAGTGAGGGAGGGGCAGTGCAGGTAGGGGGTGACAGGACAGTGAGGGAGGGATTGTGTGGATCGGGGTGACAGGACAGTGGGAGAGGGACAGCTCAGGTCGGGGAGGGACTGTGCGTGTAGGGGGTGACAGGGCAGTGAAGGAGGGACAGTGAGGATGGGGGGGTGAGAGGACAGTGAGGGAGGTACAGTACAGGTAGAGGGTGACAGGACAGTGGGGGAGGGACTATGCAGGTGAAGGGAGGCACAGTGGAGGGAATTTGCCAGAAAGTGGTTTCCAGAAAGATTTTACAAGTTTACTGAACGCTCCTTGGTTGCATTTGCTTTTTAAAAATTCATAGGGCACCTTCCTCCCACTTCTCGGCTCCAGTCACACCTCCCCACCAGACACCTCCTGGGGGCAGACTGGACTTATCTCTCCGGGTCCCCCTCCATAAAGCCTTGGATACCAGTAACCTCAAGCAGCCTGAGGACACTCCTGCCCAGCCACTCATGGGTGTGTGAGGACAACTCAGGCTGGCACAGTGGCTTGGGGATACCCACGGGAATCCTGCAGCCTGCCTGTGAAGTGACTGACATCAGGAGAGGAAGGGGGTGATTCTGTGTCTGCCCAGGGCTGCCTCTTTCACTTTGAGGTGCCTTCCTAGCAGATGTCCCGGCGTGATGCAAACTGCAGAGCAGGTCTATGGGGCTCAATTCCACATCTGACAAAACACCTCTCAAAGGAGAGAGTATTTGACTGTAAACAAAGTCAGCGAAGAAACATTCATCTTCCAGTGGCCTAAAACATTCTGTAAGTGACAAACACATTCAAGGCAGCCAAGGCTGGCAAAAAAAAAAAAAGACAAAATCAAACTTCAAAACAGCTGGTATTAGGGAGCAAAGGATTCATTTTCACCTTCAAATTGCAGGTTTCATTCCCACCGCTGTGGCCCCAGCCCATTCTCAGCGCTGGGAATTTTCAGGAGGTAAGGTCCCCACCAGAGCCCCTGAGCCCCAGCACCCCTGCGTCCAGACCCCTGACCACACTCGCTAGGGGCAAGCAGGGGTGCACTTGAGCACGCGGGGGGCCAAGCAGTGAGCGGCCGTGCAAGGCTCCCTCGCTGAACCCCACCCAGCCTCCTGCACCTGGCGAGAGGTTTTCATGTGTTCTCTGGGGGGGATTTTCATTTGTCTCGTTTCCCACACGAATGACAGCAAATACAAGCGGTTACCATCAACACCAGCAAAAACAAAAACTCGTGTGTTGTGTTTGAGACAAAGCAGTTAAGTGAGCCGAAAAGTTTGAGTTTTACCCAACGGTTAAAGACCACTTAACCTGAACTGGGGTCTTGTGAGATTCTGCATGTGAGAAAGGAAGGATCTAGAACACCAAAGTCTGGGAACTGCAGGACAGACACCTATGACCTGCAGAGGGCTGGTTCATTCACTGGACTTCAGCAGAAACTCCTCATTTCTAGTCTGAAGGCATCCCACGGTCCTTCCCTCTCCTGCGCTAAAGGAGGAAATTTGGGAAAAAAAGAGGCAAGAACAAGTTGGAGCACAGCGGGGCGCCAAGGGTAAGAGTGGCTTTTGAAACTCTGGCACGGTGGCGTACCCAAAGGCCTCCTGGTCATCGCAGCTGCCTCTAATTATGCCAAGTTCAAGGCCAGCCGCTCAGCATGTGTCGATTCTCTAGCTTTGACAAGTCTGGAGTTAGGGGCTACGATGCCCACTAGATGCAACCCTCCTGAAGCTGATGTTCACACTTACACGATCTGAAGGGCACAGTTTGGAGTGTTGAGGATTTTGAGATGCTTGACGTTGGCTCTGGCAACGTGGCTCTCAAAGAATCGGCAAGGACATCTGTAGCTCAGGCTGACCGGTTTCCCTGGAAGAGGTAGTGAAAACAGGGCGGTTTGTTATGATCCTGCTGGACTGTGGGGATATATGCACGTGTGGGTCCGCGGCTGAGGGCTAAGGTGGAGGAATGGATGCTTAGGATCAAGAGCCACGGGACTAGTTACGGGGACATCCTTGCTAAGAGCTCTTGGGTGGTACAGTGAGCCCCTGGGGCAGGAGGGAAGGGAGACGGGGCAAGCCCAGCTTCCATAGGACCAGAAGGCAAATGGACCCGCAGAGTGCTGGACTCTAGGAACCTGGGAAATTAAAAGCGGCTCCTTGCTCAGACATCTTAAGATCAAATGTATTAATCCCAGGACAGGATTGTTTCAGTCTAAGGTAACTGAGGTTCCCAAGTAATCTCTGCAAAGTAAACTCCTCCAGGGCCAACTAAGAAAGCCCTCCATACTCAGGGAAGGAGGAGGGGGAAGCAGGAGGCTCTGGGCTCCCTCTTGTCCCAGGAGCCACTGCAGTTCCCCAGGGGAATGCTGGCCTCCCACTCCTGCAATCTTCTCCCCTCTCATTCACCTTCAACCCAGGCAACCACAAAAGAATCCTGGCAGGCTTTCTACCTGGGAGTCCCCGGAGGGCAGGCCAAGCCCCCCCCCCCCACCCCAGCACTCCCCTGAAGGCAGGACGATTACCAGGGCTGGAGTCAGAGGTGGCTTTCATTGTGCAGAGATGCTAGAGCTTCCTGGGTTATGTTACCTCTTTGTTTGCCAATTCACCAATTAGCAAAATGCCATAATTGACACTCATTAGTTTAAATAAGCAAAGGGCTCCTGCAGAACTCACCACTCACCCTCTAAGTCTAGGATTGCAAGCCTTAGAGGGGGCTGGGATCATCGTGGTTTTTTTTTTTTTTTCCCCCTGCAGATTTTATCCAAGCCCTACTTAATACCCCAAATTATTTGAATTTGTGGATCCTTTCATCAGGGATTAAATGTATGTCTGAGAATATTTAGTCCAGAGATTTAAAAAAAAAAAAGAGGATTGCTCTTTACAGAGCTCCCAGAGGCCTTCTGCTGGTCCTGAAATTCTGCACTTTGGGGCAAGAGAGCTGGGGAAGCTGTGAGAAACCTTGTGAGTAAGGGACTTCTTCATTTTTCTCAAGGCTGCATTCAGCTGAGAGATGGCAGAGCCTGCAAAGAGCAGCCTATTCGGCCAACAAGTCAGGAAAAATAGACCACCCAGCCCTCTAGGATCAAATGTTTTTCCCTAAAAACTGGTAAGGAAAGAGCCCAGCTTCACGGTGCTCAGACTCAGGGTACTGGAGAGCACCTGGGGCAGCCTTTGCTGTATACCTAAGTGACTCCAGAAAGTCTCTGCTGGGGTCTGGCCTTCAGCCAGGGCACTCAATCCCTGCAGGGGAAGCTTCTACTATCCTGCCCATACTGCCTTGGAACTAGATGGCCTGGGAAAGGGACCCCAGGGCTAGGGGCTGGGTGGACTGCGTAAAGGAAAAGTCGGAAGTCTCTCCTCTGAGTGTCCCACCTCCAGTCTCCCTGGAATTCTCCTGGGTCCTTCTGAGCCGAGTAGGGACTGAAGCCCTGGGCTTGGGCAGTGACACGGGGGGGGGGGGGGGGGGGGGGTCCCAAGCCCAGAGCAGCAGCAAGCTGAAAGGTACACAGTGTGAGTGCTGCAGCTGGTGGGGGCTGCTGCTCTCCCAGGGGTGGGTAGGGAAGCTAGCTGCTCTCCCAGGGGTGGGTAGGGAAGCTAGTCTGGGTCGGCTAACCAAGCCGTGGAGATCAGGCCAGAAATCAGAGCTGATTCTGAGCTCAAAACACAGGCTTTCTCTTCTCTTCTTTTCCCCCCTCTACCCCCTGGGATTATCCATTTCCTTCAAAGGCAATTTGTATTCCTGCTCCCAGGACCCAGTTAGTTGCCTGTCAAGGGGGGACTTTCAACAGGTTTTTTTTTAAAGTGACAGAGCACCAACGGCTCTTACTAAAAGCAGTGCTATGTCCACCTGTGTCCTCTCCAGCTTTTTGTCAATATTACTAACTTTTCCAACTGATTTGGAGGTGACTCAGTGTGTAGGTGATTCGCCCAGATGTTACCAGACCGTAAGTGGTGAACTTGGCTCTGTTCAAGAGCAGTTCCAAGCGAACCTTCCACGCTAACACAGAAAGGAGCCCTGGCCAGCTTCTCCAATGAGGTCTCAGAGTGGAGTCCACCCTGGATTTAACTCCTGAAAGCCCAGGGCAACCAGGGCCCCAGCTGCTTGGCTGAGGTCAGCCAGTGGAGGGAGGGCAGGAACCGGAGCCTGACCCTGAAAACAAGGGTGTCTCCAAGGTCAGTTTTGGAACTCAGTATGGGCACACAGGCTCCAGAAGGTCAAAAAGTACATTCTAGCCTATGAATGCAAGGAGAAGCTGACCAGCCTCCAGCCTGGGACCCTGTCCTGGCCACTTGGCTGCCAAGAAGGCAGCTCAGAGAGGCAAGCAACCAACCCTTCCAAGGGTCAGGATGACTCTGTTAATGAGACTCCCACTCCCTCTGTGCTCCTTCCAGGTCCGCTGTGCCTAGGACTCAATGACCTGAGTGGGTCCTGGCATTCCCAACCTTTCTGCAGCTCCCCAGGGAAGGGGGGGGGCAGCACCATCTCTCTACAGAGGTACCCAATGACAGCTCCACTCTCACCAGACAATCAAATTAACATTTGAGTTAACATGCATTAACATGCTCAAACCAGTGTCCCCCATGACCTTGGGGGTCAGTGTGGAGAGTCAGCCTCACATACTTTTTCAGCTGGGCGGTAAAATCCAGATTGCCTTCCATCCAGTCCCTCTGCAGCTCTGCCCAGCAACTCGCTACATTTCCCACCCCTCACCCAGACTCCAGGCTTGAACTTACCACCCTGAGATCAAGACCTGAGCTGAGATCAAGAGTCTGACACTTAACCAACGGAGCCACCTGGGAGCCACCCAGGTGCCGCTTAACCTGCTACACTTAAAAAAAAAAAAACACTCCCCTGGCAGTCAGTTGTGAACCCCTGGGAGTTCGGGCCCTGCTTCCACATTTGCTCACCTTACCCTCACCTCACCCACCTGGCTTCTAGTCCACTGCCAGGATGCAGAAGAGGGTCTGCAGCTGGAACCCAGCCTTGAGCTGTGGGGGCTCAGGCCCTGTCTGGACCGTGGCTGCCCCAAGAGCACTCCCAGCGTCCTTCAGCCCTTTGCAGGGTTTGTTGGCAACTTCGCAGCCAAGAAAGGACAGCGTGGCCTGGCTAACGTGGCTTGTTTTGTGTGTTTAAAGACAACACTTTATTTTGGTTTGCAGCGGTGGTGTCCTGTGACAGGACAGCCAGATTTCTCTTCAGCTTCAGAAGGGGAAAAAAAAAGGGCTCCCCCTCTCCCAGTGAAACAGGACACCACCTTTCCCAGTGGCCTAAGGCCTTGGCGATTGAACTCGGCTGCCGCGCTCCTTCCGAGGTAAGAGCGATGGCTTGGACGGTGACAAAGGCGCCAGGCTGCAGGTGTGTTTGGGGAGCAGGGGAGGGGATGAGCGACCCCGGCGGCCCCTGGGCTTCTCTTCGGTGACCCAGGCAAGAGGCCAGGAAGCAGGCTGGACGCGCGCCCGGGTTCGTTCGCGTCCCTGCGGACCGCGGGGCTGTGCAGAAGCGCGGCGGGCGGGTGGTGCAAACACGACAGCTGCTCCGTTTGGCTCGCCCGCTAAACCTCGCTCGGGTGGGTGCGGAGAGGGGACCAGCCTCGCATGGAGGGGACGCGGCGCAGCAGCCCCTGACCGCGCCGCTACCGCCTGCGCGTCGCGATGAGAGGCAGACTTGGCGAAGCGCTCTCTCGCACACGCATCTCCCGCGCCCGGCGCCGCGGGGCCTCCCTCCGAGTCCCTTCCCCTCGAGAAACCGAGCCGCGCGCTGGAGATCACCGGCTGGGCAAGGGTGGGCGCGCCACCCCCGGGGCCCGCGGCTGCCGACTCCGCTCTGCTTCCCCGCGCTCCCGGAGCTCTCCCGGCCAGGGAACCCTGCCCGACCCTGTGCTGCCGCTGCCCCCCGTCCCGGACCCGAGTCCCGAGGCGGAGTGCGAAGCTTCAGCGCGGGTGGTGCTGCTGCGCTTTGAGCGCCGCAGCCCGAGGGAGCGCGCCCCAAGGAGGCGGCTGCCTCGACCTCCCCGGTGCAAAGCGGCGCGAACTGGGTCCGTTCGGGACAGCGCGGGCGCAAGCAGAGGAGCCGCGGTCCCGCAAGGAGCCTGGCGCCCACGCCTCCGCCGAGGAGCGCACTCACCGTCGCTGAGGCACAGCGCAACCAGCACGATGGCCAGCACGACGACGACCTTGGCATTCATGGCACCGGCGCGCGGGAGGCGGACTCAGGCGGGACGTGGAGCGAACGCGGCAGCGTAGAGTGAAAGTGCGGCGGCTGGAGGCGCGCTCCAGGCACTTTAGAGGGGAGAGCGGGGAGGGGCGGGGTGGGGCGGGGCGCACGGCGAGGGGCGGGCTTGGAGCGGCAGCCGGGCGGCGGCGGCTGGGGGCTGGGGCGCGCGTCCCCCTCCCACGCGGCCGCCGCTCCTGTCCCCTCCCCGCCCCCTCCACGCCCGGGGTGCAGCCGGCGCGGCGGTGCGCTCCGGCCTCTGACCTCCTCCGGCTCCGCGGGGCCCTGCTCTGTCAGGCTCGACCTGCAAGGAGGACACCCAGCAGCGCGCTGAGATGGGCTCAAGGCTAGTTATTGTGCCCACTTAGCAGGTGGACAGACGGAGTCCCAAAGGCGGGAAGCGAATGAGGAGCAATGATAAGCAAGAGGATGTGTGCCGGTTAGGCCTGAGGTAGCCAAGGGCGACCGTCCCGTTTTTGGATTCTAGAACCTGGAGGTGACCACCGGCCCGGGATCGCTGCGCTGCGGCCCCGCGAGCTTGACCCAAGGGAAGGAGACCAGTCTGCAGAACGAGCGAATCCCATCCCAAGCCGACGCCATCACTTAGTAGCCAAGGCTCAGTTTTCTCACCTGTAAAACTGCGACTCTAAAATAGAAGGCCATGTTGCCCAGAGGAAACAAAAGTAGTCCACTCAAGCGCTCCGTGAATTTAACCTGAATTCTAAGTAGGCGTGAAAGTACTTGGCTCGCCGTGCCTCTGTTCTCTCAACTGTGAAATGGGCTGACCACAGTCTCCATCCTGCCGAGAGTAAGTGCGGGAAATGATTGGGACTCCTCTCTCCGCCGTGAAGTGCTCACCATTGAGTCCCGCACATAGTACTTAATAAATGGAATCTAGAATAATTTTTTAAACTTCATCATTTTCTCCGTCTCCCAATGAATGTCCTGCGCGACCCAAAGTGTTGAGAGAACTCCCCCTCTTCCCCTCGACACTACTCCTGGCATCGGCCCTCCTGGTCCACAAAAAGAGTCGTGCCCGGGCGGTGTCTGAACTCTTGGCAGGCGGTGCCCCAACCTGGACACCTGGAGACAGCCTCAGCTAGCAGGGATGGGTGCAGGCAGGCGGCCCAGGAGGCGCAGGGTTGAGAGGAGCACGCGCTGGGGCCTCACTGGTGACCACAGGACGCTCCAGCTACCTCCTCTTGCCCTTACTCCCTAGTGGTGTGGATTCTGTACCTGGCCCCATCCAAGGAGCGCATATCAGGGACGGACAGCTCTCTGTACCTGGGAAGTCCCGCAGTCTGGACCCTAGGGGGAATGGGCGGGGCCCGTGGGGCCTGGGCTCAGCAGTTCCAGCCAGGGGCGATAGGAGGGGGCGGTCAGCAGAAAGCTGTAAGAGCTCTGGGACTCAGGTCCTGAGGATAGGTGTCTTTTGTGTCTTTTTTCCAAAACTACTTTCACGCCCAATTAGACACACTGGGAACTTGCATTTATTCATTCATTTACTCCAGGCCGAGCTCACTTCTGGGCACTGGGCGTAAAGCCGGGAAACGCACTGGCTTGGTCCCTGGCATTAAAGAACTAACAATCCAGTGGGGAATACAGTCCTCAGGCATTCCTTGGCCCCCACTCTTTTCGGTGGGTATTTGCGAACTAGTGAGCCTGTGTTGGCCTCAGAGGAGAAAGAGCTCGCCGACTGAGCTCGGGCGCCCTCTGGTGGCAAAGTCTCCAGCACAAGCTCCCACCCCCCAACCCCGGCCTGTCCCCATGTCCCGCATCCCAACCTCGCTTGCCCACCGCCCCCGAGGTCTGGGTGGACCAAGGCTCATGCCCTCCCCCCCCGAACCCAGCGCAGCCTAGTAAAGCTGCGATGCAGGGCGGTAAATCAAGAAGCCTGGAGCTGGCGAGACTTGGAACCTGGAATCCAGACCCTGGCGGGAGCTGCACAAAACCTTCCCTGCAAATCCTGCTAAAGCAAATGCCAGTCTCTCACTGGCTTCTTTGCCTCAAATCTGGGTTTTGTCCCTGCAGCTGAGGGAGTCACTGGAGAGGGGCCTGCGTGGGCTAGGGCCGAGGCTTCCTGCCTGGCTGGGCCCTGCCACCCCAGGATAGACATTAGTGTGGGACTCATCAGAGCCTGCTGCTTCCTCCATTAATTTATTAAAATCCTTATTGAGCACCTACTACATGCCAGACACTGGCGAAGTGTTTGAGGTACTTTAGTAAAGGAAGAAAAGAAAGAAAGAAAGAGAAAAAAGAAAAGAAAGAAGAAAACCCCACACCTCCTGTCCTGGAGTTTACATGGAAGGGGGTGGGAAGAAGGAGGGAGAGGAAAATGGCAGAAAACATAAGTAATTAGACACATAATCTATAGAATGTTCTTAGGTGCTATGGGAAAATGGAGCAGAGGGAAGGGGAATGAGTTAGGATTTTACGTAGGGACACCAGGAATCTGCATTTTAGATAAAATCTCCAGTTTTTCAGTTGGCAAACTATTTGAATTTAAAACATTTAAAACATTACTGGCCAATGCTCTTGGGGGCCATGGGCTACCAGACTGTGCCTTTTAGCTTGAGCTCTATTCTCAGCCATACGGGTGCCTCCCAAATTCTGGACAGCAGAGCCCACCACCCCTGCTCCTCTGTCCTCTGCTGGTGCCACAGTCTCCACTTCCAAGGTTCCACCTTTCTTTCTCTGCCAGGAAACTCAGTTCCTCAATCAAGGCCCAAAGCAAGCTCCCCCTCCCAGTGAGATCTCCCAGGGCTCTCTTGGCTCAGCACCCTGATTTGCTGCTCTTTAGAAACACGACAGTCATGCTGGGTCTGAGGTGGGAGGCAGGCAGGGGTCTGGCTGTCAAGGTGTACCTCTAGACCCCGAGTGCCCAGTTCATGTGCCCCTCGGCCTGGCTTGCTCATTGCTTCAGAGTTCAATGGTTGGCCTTTCAGGGAAGGACTTCAGTACAAGGTTGAAGGTTTGCTCTGATTCATTGTTTCCGGTGTGTAACTGACAAGATGACTTCAGGTGGTATTTTGAAAACATTATTTGTAAGAAATTCAGATTTATATATTTTATTTTAAAAGTAATAAGAAAAAAAGTATACCTTGTACATTAAAGCAGACATTTCAGATATGGCTCAGGATTGATTTCATTTTTTAAAAATATATGATTTAAAAAGCAAGTATATTTAAAGTAATAGCAGCCAGTACTGTAGTTGGTTGGAGATACAGCAAAAATCCACAGTCGTACACAAAGATCTGAAGCTTGAAAATGCTGTCTAAATAAAGAACATTTTTTTTTTTTTGTATTATTTGATACTACTCACCTCCCTTACAAACAAACCATTTGGCCCCAGAGTGGTAAGACAAAATCACACAAGAGAGGTATGGCCTCTTTCTCACCCTTGCCATCAGGAGAGGCTAGAGAATGCTTACCTATGAGTGCTCAGGTCCCCCTGTGGGGAACTTTGAGATCCCACCCCACCCCCTTGCCCATAGCTCTCTTATCCCAACCATGAGTCTTCTTTCTCCAACTTTTGGTGCAGGCCTGAAGGGGCACAGCCAGGAGACCGCTGTCTGCCTGCGCCCGCCCTCCCACTTCCCCTCTCTCACCTTTGACGCCCCACCCTGGGATTCACAAGTAGGTACTCTACCCTGGGAACTGGGAGTCCCAGGGAGAAAAACAAATCCTCAGAGCTGGGTGCTGTCACCGGTGGAACAGTTACACTAACTCTCAAGGTTGGTGTTGGGATTTACTAAGTGTGAAGCTGTCTGGCCCAGAGAAGGCTCTCAGAATGATAGGACTTCGGCTTACTTGCTCTGAATGGGTTACATTTTGTTCTCCCAGAGACAGAATTTACGGAATAGGCCCTCATATCTCAGCTTTGAAGACTAGAAGCCCGAAGTTCAGAGTGGTTGAAGGCCTTGACCAACATGGAAGAGCTGGCCAGGGGCAAAGGCACAACTCTCTAGACCAGCTTTTCCAGATTCTGGAACAACATGGGAGTGTGCAGAGGGATGTACGTCACTTTCATGGGAGCCTCTTGGAGGCATGTACCCAGGACTGGGGCTCAGCATCTGTCAGTCTAGCCATGGTTTCCTCAGCTAGATCCCAAATTGGCCTCGGGAGCCAGTTCCAAGAGCCTCATTTCCTTCTGGAGGGAAGAACCCTAGGGAAGCTGAGTCAGGGCTCCTGGATGCAGGGCTCCTGGATGCTCCTGGCAACTCCTCTGTTGCCGGGTCCTGGCCAGCTGTGGGGCACATACAGAGGCAAGCCTTACCATAGCTAATGTCCAAATCCAGCCAGCCAGATCTTCTGTCCAAAGACTCTCCCTTGTGGACACTCCTAAAATAGGGGTGGTATTTTCTGGGACATCCTGCAGGAGCATTGGATGAGCAGAGCTAATGTTTTAGGAAGAGTCAGACCCAAGGGCTCTGAGGGGTCAGGTCTGTGCTCTCACATACCCTCTCACTTCTGCACCCCATCACCAAAATCACTGCAGTCAGGTCCAGATTTATTCTGCTGTTCCTAACCCCACCCCACTCTTTCCTGTTACCCTTGCATGTGGATAGACTGATCTCAGCATAGGAGCTGCAGAAGTTTCTAGAATTGGGAGCGTGCACCCGCTTCTACCACAAACCCCTGGGTCATGGGAAGCGTGAACCCTTTAAGGATAAATAACATTCACACGTGTTACTCAGTGCTGTGCACCCCTCACTTCTTTCATCCTCCCACTACCTTTGAGGTGGGTTCAGTGTTCACACCATGCCCCAGATTTGGGAGCTAAGGTCACACAGTTGCTCTTTGGCAAAGCCAGGATTTAGATCATCTTAGCCTGGCTCTGGAGTAGGACTGTTCCTGGTAAAGGACGGAAGAGCAGGTTTGCCATATAAAATGCAGAAAACCCAGTTAAATTTAAATTTCAGATAAGCAACAAGTCTTTTTTTTTTTTTTTTTTTTTTTTTTTTGGTATATATGTTCCAACTATTGCATAGGACATACTTAAACTAAAAGAAATCATTCGTTGTTCATCTGAAATTCAAGTTTAAC